GGGGGGGGGGGGGGCAGGAAGCACCTCCTGGGACCTGCACCCTGCACGGGCTCTGCACCTGGAGGGGCACCGCTGGTCTGAAGACCGCCTGTGGCCTGGTGTCGCGCGGGACTGCTTGTCCTGATGGGTCTTGATGTGACATGTGGCATCCCTGCTGTCCTAGGCCTACCTTATGCCAAAGGGATGCTGCAAGGGGCTCTGGGACATGCGGCTGCTTTTCCCTGCACAGCAGAAGTAGGCCAGGTTGGCTGCGTTTCTTGCTCACAACCAGGTCTGTTCCCAGCTGTCATCCGCGGCTGTTGCGGCACTGTCCAGATGGACAGATGGACAAATCCGTTGCTATTCCTTTTCTGACGTCCGCTGCCTCTGCCTCTTGCCATGTCTCCCATTTCCTTTCCTCTCCTTTTTTTTCCTGTTCATTTGCATTTCTAAGATGAGAGGCTGGCTGGCTTTCACTGTCACCACCAGGCCAACTAACCGCCCCTCACAGTGTGTGGGCGGAGAGGTGTTGGCTGGCTTGGGGGTTCTGCAGGACTCACAGGCACCTTCCTTTAGTACCCTTTCCTTCCCCGCCTGGAGCTTTCTTTGCGATTACCGCAGGCCGCCTGGCTTCCGAATACGCTCAGCAGCTTTCTTAGATGCATCTTCAAGGCGGCCTGAGTGATTCCAGTATAAATAAGCTGGACCCTTGCCTGACGGTGTTTTGCATTTAACAGTATTTAATACATTTCTGTTTTGAAAGATAAAAATACACCCACGTCAGTCCTAGGAAATAGATACTTTGGGGGAAGAAGTGCATATTTTGGAAAAACAAATGAAAACATTGCCACATCCTGTGACCTGCAGTGTCAGTGTCAGTGACAAGCGACCCAGCCAGGTGCCCCCGCCATGGTCTTTCCTCCCCCCAATTTCAGTCCCTGCTGTTCTCTCTTCCATCGTCTCTCATCTCCCCCCTTGCTCTCCTCTCTCATCTGTAATTGTCATGCATCCTTAGCAGCTAAAGAGGAAATAATACCGTTTCTCACTCTCCGTGTTTAACAGTCACACCTCCGCCTGCTAATCCATGACCCACTGAATCAGGAAAATTCACATCCCTGCCTGTCCTCTGTGTGCCCATCATAAATCCTGGAATATGTGTCCACACCTGTTCCGCGGCTGAGGTGAGGAGGCGGTGCTTACAATTAGGAACAACCAGAGCTAGAATTCCGGCAGCTGTGTAAGGTGTCAGTATTTTATTTTTCCAGTTTCTACATCATCCATTTTTGAAAAAGTTATTCAGAAAGTGGCAGGGCACGGGGATGAGGTCTGTAAAGGTCACTAGCTTTATAGCATCGGCCTGTGGCTGGAAGCCGTTGTCCACTGGAAGACATCACTGTTTTTCTTGTCTTTACATCCCATGGTGAAAGTATTTTTTGTCATACAACATGTGGTTCCTGATAGAGAAACACTGTCTTGCCAAAGATAATTGAAGGCACATAATATTCACACTAATAGTTGTGTTTCATTCCTTGTTCTTTTTTAATCTATTTAAGTATTTGATCAGGAAGGAACAGAATAGAAGGTTGGCACAGTTCCTGGCTATATTTTCCACATTACAGGGTGGGCAAAAGTAGGTTTACAGCTGTGAGTGGAGTTCATTCTTGTATTATTACTTATTAAGTATTGTATTGTTTTCCATACAAACAACTGTAAAGCCACTTTTCCCCCATCCTGTATATTTCTTATAGAAAGCCTAATTTTTGTTTGTTTGTTTTGTTTTTTTGTTAATCCTTACCTGAGGATATTTTTTCCATTGCTTTTTTCAGAGAGAGTGGAAGAGGGAGGGAGGGAGGGAAAGAAACATCGATGTGAGAGAGACACATTGATTGGTTGCCTCCTGCACTCACCCAGACCAGGGCCAGGGACAAACCTGCAACCCAGGTACAATGCCCTTGACTGGGAATCAAAACTGCAACCCCTTGGTGTGCAGGCCGACGCTCTAACCACTGAGCCATACCAGCCAGGACTAGAAACCCTAATTTTAACCAGAACTCATTGTTCAGGCAGTTTCATCCCTCTGTCTCTCTATATCAGTGATGCTCACATTGTAAGTGCCCCGGAACCTGCGGACTTGGCACAGTAGAGGCCCCACAGTTCCTGGGGCCCAGAATTTGCCTTCCCAGCACAGTCCTTGGTGATGCTGCTGATGATGATTTAGGGACCACACTTTGAAAACTGCTGGTATCTGTTAGGCAATCTTAGTGCTTTTATGCATACTAACAGCAGTAACTTAAACCCCATCCCTGTGGAATACTGCATTTCCAAGAATTATAACATGTTGAAAGGTGAAAGTTACAGCTCTGTTGTCAGGTTTACTTTCATGTAGAACTGTCAGCTTTGNTCTTAGTGCTTTTATGCATACTAACAGCAGTAACTTAAACCCCATCCCTGTGGAATACTGCATTTCCAAGAATTATAACATGTTGAAAGGTGAAAGTTACAGCTCTACTGTCAGATTTACTTTCATGTAGAACTGTCAGCTTTGGTTGAGTGAGATTCAGCTTATAAAGTGTTTCTGTTTATTTTGAGCCGTTTGGTAACTGACTGTATTTGCTCTGTGTTTCTCATGAAGGATAAGGAGAGGTCAGTTGTCAGCAGAGCTAGAGCTGCCACCCAGGAGCTTAGAAGAGGGAGCAGTGGGGGGATTTCTTCCCACCAGGACTTGCTTACAAGCTTCCGAA